ATATATATATATATATATATATATGCAGTATTCATAAAAGAAGAGACATACACATTACTGTAATTTCATTATTAATAAGAAAAGGAAGTATATTTGCAAAAAAATAATTATGATAAGTGCATTTGAGAGGGGAATGAAGTTGTGAGGGTTTTAAGATTTGAGATTAATTTTGTATTTGGGTTAGATTAACTATCAGTTTCCGGTATATGTAAACTACGGAGTTAGTTTGTTTATTGTTGATATGATTATGCAGATTGTATGTATTTTTTTATTTCAGTATCTAAAAAGAATAGTGAGGTTTTAGTTTTTAATTTACTTCTATGGATGTGAAATTTGCTATATAATAGGCCTATACTTTTTTCTTTTTGTATGCTTTTTTTAATGATTTTTGTACTATATACACTCTTTTTATATATTGTCTGTTGTGTTTTTATCTTTAAGGCCATCTTGCTTTAACTCTTTGTACTCTATATAAGCTACTGGAACCAGACTTTCCCTGAAGGAGTAATCCCAAGGGATAAATAAAGTTGAGTCTAAGTCTATGTATAGATTAATTAGTTTTGCCAATTCCTTGCGTGGGTGTGTAAAAAAAGTGATAATGCTATGGCCAGGGAGGGTTATGCTGGAGCTAATTTTTTTAGATAAGTGCTACTCTATTGCTTTCCAGAAAGATGTTGTTACACCACCACAAATAATATTATGTCAAAGTGACAGATCCATTATGTCACTTCGATGGGCGGGACTCTGGAGCCTCAGGAGAAACATAGACAGCAGTTCCCAACCTGAGTTACTTTTGGCGAATGTAAATGAGCGGAAAGGGGGAAAAAAAGTGAAAATAATTGGTGGGGACTGTCCCCGCCAAGTTAGTGAGAGGACCTTTCCACACCAGTCCTTTGACACGCCTGGAGCCGTTAAATTCAGACATACCAGGAACAAATCATTCTCAGGTTCAGGACCATTCCTAAAGTCCCCAAAGTTCTTCCTTTTTCTCAGCCAACATGTTTAGTTTAAATTTCTCATACATGTACCTGAAACAAAAACAAGTTTGGCTTGTTATGCAGGTTTTGAAGGAGAAGGATATCCTCTCTAAAAATAGCATGGTGATACACCTTATAATGGTGACGTTACAAATCTCAGCATTTCCATTCCAGCGACCTTTGTCCAAAGGGCGAAACATAAAAGCTATGTTATGTTGACAACATGCTGTCATTACAAGTCAGTCAGCTCTGCCTTTCCTCGAAATAGTCCTATCTATCTATCTATTGGTCTGTCTGTCTGTCTGTCTGTCATTATACAAGTAAATATTATTTTTACAAGATAATGTCAGAAAGAAAACACGGTTCTCTAAATTCCTTTATACCAATATAAAACTTATTAAACACATATTTTCAATTAGGTAATTTATATTCTCTTGTCAAAATTACTTGGTAAGCTGTTCTAACATGTACAAATGTAAATTCCTAGTTGTGAAAAACAGAATACAAGCCTTCACTCTGGTTTATCCCACTGTCATTTCTCTAGACTACATCAAATTTACACATGCAGCCATAAGAATGATCATCATATTATTACAGATTTGTTGGTGTGAACCAAGTAATTCAGGCAACATAATGGATGGTCGAAGAGTGCATAGTATTGTACTTTTACTTGAGTGAGTACTGCAGTTATAAAACAACAAGGCTTGTGTACAAACAGGAGGTGTGACTTTTTCATAAACTACAAGTGTATATATCTGATGAGTTTAAATGTTTAAAATAAGTCTGTTGTTAATTCAGGAAAGTTGCTCATAGTGGGTAATGAAGCCGGATATAATAGCAATACTTCTTTATAATATAACTCAAGTAAAAGTAGGTCCGGGTGATTAAATCTTCTGTTTTATTTTTGGAAAATCTGGATGTTTTTTCCTCCCACCAATCCGCTTCTGGGCTTCAATAGCGCAATGTTACATCAGTTCATCACTTTGTGTTTTTAAATGTGTTCCTATAAGTGATAAACCAGCTGACTGTGTTGTTAGGATAATTATCATTGAAGATGTGTGAGTTTGTTACACCCTGGTATGGGCTGCCTGTTGTGCATCAGAACTGACGTTTTAATCTAAATAGGATATCTGTTAACATCTGGTAACATTTAGTTTGTTATATTTGCATTGTTTTTTGCATTGTTTTTTTAAAGACTGTTTTAAAAGCATTTTCTCACATCTTGAATTTCATTGTCCATTAAATTAAGGGGATGATTGGAATAGCAGCTTGTTTTAAGTGATGTAGCCCAAGTCATTTGTTCCTTTTTCCTATGAAACGTAAGGCGGAAAAATCGATTGATTAGATTATGTAGGAAAAAAATTCAGTGACTAGATTTATAAGCATATTGGCAATAAAAGGTGTGTTTTGTTTGTAAGTTGTAAAAGTTATTTAAGTAAATACAGATGAGTAATACTGACCGTATCATTTTATCTGTTAACATGGTGACGTGATTGTTGTTTTGTTTCATGTGTTAAATTATTTTTTATAAACTTTATTAGGATATTCTTTA